CCCCTCCCCCCATGGTCCATGGTCCAGGATGCCAACCCCCCCTTGTGGGTGGGGTGTGGGGTCCCTCTTGACCCCTGTGGTGTGGTTGTGGGGCTTTGGGGTTTAGGGTTTAGCTTAAGCTTTTGAGTTTGGGGTTTAGGGCTTAAGGTTAAGAGTTATAAGGCTTAGAGTCGACAAGAGCTTAGGGAGGGTTTGGGCGTAGGTTGGTTAGGGTGACGGTTTATGTTCTGCTTCAAGTTAGAGCCTGCACTTAGGCGGGGTTTAGGGTTGGGTGTAAGGTTTAAAGTATTGAGTATAATTACAGGTTAACAATAAGGTTAATAAAACAAAAACACGCCCCACGTTGTAGGGTTTATGGCTTTGCGTAGGGTTTGCATAATCTGTGAGCCCTGGCTCTCCGCACACGCCAGCCCACCCCCCACCCCTGCCCCACCAGGCCATACCATTGGGTGGGGGGGGGGGGGTTGGGAACGCCAGACGCCTGACCATATGGTCATATATATATATATCTCTCTCTCTCTCTCTCTCTCTCTCTCTCTCTCTCTCTATATATATATATACATACATACACACAAATATATCTCTATCTATATATATATACTTATCTATATATTTTTTGTATATTTATGCCGGTTCTCGGTATGTGCTCCTGCTTGGGTAGTTGCATCCGTCACTAGAAATTTACGAACAATTCCGGTGCAGCATTTTGTGCCCAGCCGTTGCGCTGTCCTATGTTCAGCACAAATGCCCGGCAAATCTTGGAGATGATTCCGCGCATTTCTCAGCTGCGCGCTCTAAGGTATCCCACGACACTCGCATCTTCCGCTTTGCGCTCCCGTCCAAGTCGACGCGCCTCGGGCTTCCGACCGGGATGCACGTGATCCTCAAGGCGCTGGGAAGCGGAACCATGAGATCCCAAAAAATGTGCACCTGGACCCGAGTAGCCTGGGAATTGTGTACAAGAATGCTCTCGCACTGTGTCGCCCGAGTGTCGTCGCTCTAGGCTGCATCATTGCTTCTTGCGGCCCCGCATTCTCGATATCTTCTACGTAGGTGCCATGGCACTTGTATTCCTCCTTGTTGCTGTCCAGGCAAGAGTGGATGGCAAGCCGCTGATGAGGGCGTATACACCCGTGACGGATGACAGCACGCTGGGTCACGTCGATCTGCTCGTGCTGCTGGGATGTGAAGTTCTGCCGGGCGCGTCCATTCAGAAACTGCATAAACGCCAGCAGCGGACATCGGTGAGCATCGATTGCCGAATAAGTAATCGGAAGCGATGGCAGCAACAAAACACTGCCATATCGTTTAGTGATTGCAAACCTGGGTCGAAGTAAGCATTGCAGATCATGTGTTGCCAGCCAAGGAAGGTTTACTTCAAGGATGTTCACCCGAAGTTCCCGGAGGGCGGCAAGATGTCTCAGCACATGGAATCAATGAAGCTTTGCGGAATGATCCATTGTGGTTTACTCTAGGAGCCAACACGAATACTCGCAACAGCGACACCCCCATCCACACCCGTCTGGCCGACTGCGAAGCTGGAGAGGGCAGTCAAAATCAAAGCCGACAGACACCGGAGCCGCGATGTCGCAGCAATCACAACGACTGTTGTCTGGACTGACCTTGGCCCTGCCTTTTCCTGCCTCAATCGAGGAAGATCGGTGATGCCATTGAAGTGAAGGGTCCGGTCGGGGATTTCGTCTACAAGGGTGGCCAGCTCATTTGTTGGACAATGACGCATGTCTTGTTTCTGCATGGGGTTGCTGGTCGGGCGCTTCAATCAACAAAATCCCGCGAAGAGGCCGCGGCCGCTTCACGTGGCGTGGACAGCGTCCTGGCTTTAAGGAACCCCACCACAAGACCCGATCCTTTGTGTTGGCGAAGACTCGAGACCATTTTGAGTCACACCGTGACTTTGTGACGATTGACTGGCTTGTGCGTCGCCCTTGGCTGAGTCGCGGCTCAGGCCCGGCTTTTGCAAGGAGATCTCGATGATTGCAGGTGGAACCGGACTGACGCCCTGCTTGCAGGCCGGGCGACTGGCCCTTTGCGTGAGGGTGTGGGAAATCGTTATCGGCCTCCGCAGGTGCTGTCGGCCATCATGCGGGATCCCAAGGACACCACGAAGGCATCCCTCCTGCATAGGGTGGGCACACGCTTCTCGCGAAACAAAACTCCCGTGCTGCGAGCCGATAAGCACCTTGCTACCGCACCTTGTGGCTCGTTCCTAGCTGTCGTTTGGTCTAGGTTCGTCTGCTCTATGCGAACAAGACCTCTGGCGACATCCTGGCCCGCGAGATGCTGGACCGTATGAGGGTCTAGCTTGAAGCAGATTGTAGCTGTTGGCCGGGGAAATGTTATGAATCTCTGAGATGTGATGAATCGTGTGTTTCGTAGTGATCCGAAGACGGGGGGCAGAACGTCTTTACGATTCATTCTCACTGCCATTATTGTTCGTGGTGCTGGTTGTGCGGAATGCTTACCTTCGGCGCACCCAAGCCAGGAGAAGCTGGCCTCGGAGAATCCGCAACGGTTTTCGTTGCATCTGACTGTGGACACGGTCGACAGTGAGCAGTGCCTCGATCGCCGTTGCCTTCTGTACCGGCGCACTGCTTGAGCCTCACTTCACGGATCCTCAACTGTTGAACCTGCCTGCAAGGTGGAAGGGCTATGTGGGCCATGTGAATGCTGAGATGGCCAAAGCATCCCTGTTCAAGGCTTCACAAAGAGTCACCACAGTTGCCTCGACATGCTGCCCACTTTGCTCGACATGTTTTGCCAAGCCTGTCGGGTTTGCGGCGCCTCGGAGTCAGGCAGGACAGGAGACCATTTGTGCGATGTGCGGGCCGCCATTGATGCTGGAGAAGGCACGCGGTGGTTCTATGCCAGCGATCGAGCCGCATAGTAAGCTCAGTCTGCATGACTAAGTCTCTGAGTAAGCCCATGACAAGCCTGCGAGCAGCAGAAGCGCTCGGGCGCGACGCTGACGCCTTGGAAGGCCTGCCATCCTGCTTTGGCAGAAATGGGCTACAGCAAGAAGAACATCTTTGAGTTCTGAAATATGCAAGCGGAGCTTGCATGCTTGATGGGCTCTGGAACCTTGTACAGTGGCGGGGCGTTGCATCTCCGCTGATGCAGAATGTGACCCTCGTGTCGTCGAGAAATACTCCCTTTCGGAGACTGGGGGTACCGATGCATACCGTTTGGCAGATCACTTCGCTTCAAGGAGGGTTCCCGGCAAAGAGAGCGGGACGTGGCAAGGGTTGCTTTTCGACGGCAGCTATTTGCTGTACAGCAGCGACCCGCACCCTCCTCAAGCATACAGTCTACTGCACTGTACAGCATGCAGCGAGCATCTGCCTGGCCAACCTGTGGCCTTTTGTCCAGAGGTTGCGCCTTTTCTCGGCCTACGAGGTTGTACAGTGGCAGAGGTCCCGAAGCGACGTCTCAGGAGCCTTGCCAGCACAACTCCAAAAGAAGCACTGGAATGATGACTGTTTTTTCAATAAAGGTTCAGTTGTAGTCGTGTTGAAGAGATTGCTCGTTCATTCTGGGCGTTCGAGTGCAAACTGCACTCGACATGCATGCCAGCTGACTTCAACATGTGCCAATGAGCTTGTCCTGAGAGCCCGTTTTGATGGAATTTGGCCCCCAGACGTTTCAGTCCTTCGGGCCATTGAGTTCCTTTTTAAGAGCAGATGCAAGGGAGGGAGCGATCGAGCCTTTGCCAATCTGGCAATAGCCAATAAAACCGATGATGCACACATTCCGTTTTGGTTAGCTTGTAGATTCTGCCGGGAGAGGGGACGTCTGGCTGTCGCTCTGGACATTCCCAATGGCGGGCGTGGTGGAGCAAAGCGATTCTCGGCCCGATATGCGGCTCATGATATCTTAGTCTGCTGTGTGCCGCCAGGCCAATGAAAACCAAGAAAGCTCGTCCATGCAGTCCAAGCACCGTTTTCGCTCAGGGGACACGGTGGCATGACAAGGAGCGCCCGCCCTCGGAAGCGGAGATCCCGTGCTTTGAGCGACAGGCGCGGATCGGCACATCCTGACTACAGGCTGACTACAGGTGTTGCATGATCACTACCAGTAGCAACTACGCCAATTACTAGTAGTAACCGGTAGCCAGAGAAGACTAGAGCTCAGACGCGCACTGATAAGCTGGCTCGTGAGAGCCACGGTTCATGATCGTAGCGCTGGCAGAAGCGGTAGTGCGATTAAATGCGACTTGGAACATCGCTGAGAATGCTGATGGTGCAACCACAGTACCTTGTCGATACCTGGCTCAAGTGGCTCAACAAAAACAGCAAGAGCAACACTAGCATGCATCACTGACACCACCGTGGCCGCTGCTGCAAGCCCCACCAGCACCACCGGCAGCACCGGCAGCACCAGCAGCACCACCAGCACGACCAGCACCGCCGACACCACCGGTACCACCAGCAGCACCAGCACCATCAGCATCATCGTCATCACCACCAATAGCATCATCATGATCATCAACACCATCATCATTACCATGATCATCATCATCATCGTCGTCATCATCATCATCATCATCTTCATACTCATCATCAACACCGTCATCATCATCATCGTCATCATCGCGATCATCATCACCGCCACCACCATCATCACCATCATAGCCATCATCGTCATCATCCTCATCATCATCATCATCATCGTCATCATCGCGATCATCATCACCGCCACCACCATCATCACCATCATCGCCATCACCTTCATCAACAGCGGCAGCATTAAAGCTGCAACATATGGCAACCGAGAATGTAGTAGCAATAGTGACAGCAAGCGTCTTCCGACCAACAGAAGGAGTATATTTCGAAGCCTGATAGTATATCGAGAGCAAATATAGCAGAAACCCACGCAGGAGCCAGAAAGCAGTGGGCACAAGCGAGGAAATGCGCACAGTAACAGTGCCGAGTTCAGACGACTGGCCGGCTGACTGACATGCTTGTATGGCAGGCTACAAACCTCTCTGCGAGCACCTGTGCGACAAAGGCAGGGACTGACAAGGCTTCAGTTGTGACAGGACCGAGTCCTTCTGTGCCACCTGCGACTTGTCAGACGGACCGTCCGGATGGCTGGGTGAGCTTGTTGGGGCTGGACAGGGCCTGCGGCCTCAACGCCGCAGAAACTGTAAAGTTAAGTTGAGTTTAGGATGGATGCGAGGAGCAGCTTGTTGTTCGGTGTTGCAAGTTTAGCCTGAGGCGATCAGTTTGTGGAGCGACATCATTGGCATTGCAAGGCAATCCAACGCCTTGTGCACTGCCAAGGTCGCCAACTTCCGCGATCTTGCGGGACCTGACACTTGTCACAAGCATCGGCTGATTTACTTCCGGTTCTGCTCCCGAAGCGTCTGCGAAACGGAAAGCTGCTCTGCGATTCGGGCAGCTAGGCGAGGTGAGGATGCAACACAATCCGAGGATGCCTCTGCGCCCTATCGTTGCAAGGCCCGGCTGCGGCTGCCGCTTTGTGTCCTTAGGGAAGAGTCGGACATGATCCGTCATATTCCGTCATCCTTTAGTGTGCGCAATTATGGGCAATTAACGCAGAAGCTTACCATTGATGTAGCTAAAGCACCCGTCTAAACAGGGTGGCCAACTTGCTCGCGGCAAAGTCTACCGCACCGGTTGGGAACCTCAGAGTTGCAATCAGCATGTCTGTGTAGAGGTGTAGGACTAGGTGTATGGTTCAGTACTTGACTGCCCGACCAACCGATTTCTCTGTCGTGCAGGCCACTGGGTCACTGCCACACCTACCGACCTGTCGATGATCCGCGACACGCTGGGCATTTGCACCTACCTTGACCTTCGCAATGGCCAGGACTTGTCTAGGGTGTCACGTGCCACAGCCTTGTTGAAGCGTCTCTGGCTTGTTGCCCTCCTGTACACTTCTGCGATTACAGGACTTTGAAAGTGTCGATGCGTGCTCCTCTCAGAATATCTGCAGGGGTGGGCCTCACTCCGAGCCTGTCACTCTTCGGACACCAGTCTACACTTTTGGCAGATGTTTGCAGGGAGTGCTTCGACGACTACCCGCCCAGCCCAAATGGGCGGCACGAGGCCAGTGTTCCCCGAGGCAGCAACCGAACTTGTACTTGAGTTCTACCAGTAGCTGCTTCTAGCTGCTGGCTGAGCCGAGTAGAGAGGAGCTCAGGCACCTGGCATGGTCATGAGCTATAGGCTATAAGATGTCTTAGGTTACGAGGGTCACACATTGGGAAGCATCGCCTTCCGAGATGCGGGCGAACGTCGCCGGCTGAGCTGTCCCTTCTCCAAGGCCGGTTCCCGAAACTTCTCTGTGAGCGGCCAACCGGAGTCTGAGCGGAGTTGCGCAGGGCCTTGGAGCACGACCCCTCACGCGAGATGAAGCAGCTCAGGACTTAGCTTGCCTCCGACCTGACTTTCACCACCCCCAATCGCTTTGCTAAGCCACCGCAGCCTTGGCCGCCAAGGAAGGCAGAGTCGATCCATCTGACAAGAAGGCACAGTGCCGGCGTCTCAGAAAATACGGTCTTGCAACCTTGAGAGCAACGCGCCATGCGTGGCTTTGGTAACACGATCTCGCACCTCGTGCTCAGCTGCCCATGTATGGCCTCGATGCCTCTGAGCCCTTGGGGCATCCGAGCGGAGCCACCTGGCAAAGAGGGTCTGCAGTTTTCTCCTTGGACTTCTGAGGCGCCATCTGGTTCCAGAAACAAATGCGAAGCGAAGCCTTTCACGATCTGCAGGACCGATCTAGGAAGTCTCCTTTTCTGATCTTCGGAGCTTTGCAGCAGGCCTTAGCCTTGTGCAGGTTCAGCTCAAGACAAGCATGCGTGCCATGCTCATCTTGAACTCGGAGGAGGTTCTTACAGCCGCACGCCTCAGCCTGCAGCTGCCTGCGGCTGCCTGCTCTGTCACCACGTAACGGCATGTGCATGCCCAATGGTGTTCGGCCTTGTGGGAGTGAGGCACTCAGAGCCTTAGTCGATGCCGTGAGCCCAGGAAGCCTTCACCACAGCCCGATCGGGAGACCAGAAAATCCGATGAGCCAAAAGTGCGCAAAGCTGAGGAGCGAAACTTCCCAGTGGCCTTCGGCTGTATCGCGGGAAAGGACCGCACGGGCTGGGACCTTGATGTCTGCACTTATTGCAGCTCCACCGCACAAACCGCACAAGCTCCTGCACACCTCAATCGGGAAATCCAAAGACGCCCCAAGGCCTTCTGGCATGTTTGGTGCTGCTCGCCTTGGGAGTCAGCGACGAGGACGCGCCTTTCATTCGAGCAAGAAGTCATGCGCTGGTGTACGATGTCTTGTCGTTCGAAGCATCTGAATGCCGGCCGTCACCACGAAATCTGCAAAAAAGCAGCTCCCAGGTAGAGTTTCGTGGAAGCACAATGGGACGGACTTCACCAGATTTATAGTCTTTTCTGTGGGATGCATGGCATGTCCACATGCCGACAGACTCTTCAGAGCACGTCTTAAACCTGCCTTTTCGGCGGTTTCGCAACGCGGGATTTATCGAAGATGCTTCACAGCTTTTAGCGCATCCAAACGGCTGTCGAGAATTGCTCCTCTATGCACCGCAGCTTGTCTGGTTCACGCTTCACATCGAGATCGCAGCCGCCGCTGCCTCCAAATGTTGAGCTGCATCCATCACTCCTCCTGCATCTGAAAGAGTCTGAAAAGTCGCCATGTCATCACTGCATGCCAGTCCTATGGCTGAGCAGGACATCATCTCTGACTATATGTTCACCAATGAGGCAGCTGCAAACATGTCATGGAAGTCTGGCCTTGTGGTGGGACGTGCTCAGGATGAACAGTTGCATGCAGACTTCATCTGAAAGCTGTCAGCTTCCAGCCAGCCTGTCGAGTGACTTTCGGAAGTTGGTGAGGTTTGGTTCTTAGATTGCATGCCCCGCCTGTGTCGCAGTCTGCGCAACACATCAACGCCTGCAATCAGATCGCAGTCGCCATGTGGTGTGAGGAGATGAGGGTGTAAAGGGCATGAGGTGCTGATGCTGGAGCATCACAGCGAAGGTTTGTTGATCTGTCGCATTGGTTGTGCGAAACGAAGGCACGGCAGGCAATCATACCCTACTAGTACCTTAACGCTGCCATTGTGTGGCATGCTGGTAGTATGTAGGATTGCCAAGCAGCGCGTGCAGGAGCTGAGGATCCGTGACCCACGGAAATACAGCTTGCTGGTGCGAAGGCAGGGTCTGAGATGCCCACCTGGAGCCGCAAGACGACTGCCAGCGATGAATGCCGCAACGCCCTTGCTGGTGACTATAGCCAGGACGCGACTCCCACCAAGCGTCCAGAACATCTTGGACAGCCGCGAGCTCAGCTCAGCCAAGAAACTACATTCCCTAGCAAGTCCCTGGCATCAACGACAGCCGTTCATGGCCATTGCAACCTTCCGATGCTCTCAGCCTTAGCGCTTGCCGACTCCGTGGACTGAAGAGGCTGCTATTTAATTGCTCGCTGCAGTGTTTTTTTCACGTTAGGACTTGTCAGGGTTTAGTTCACTGCGGGTGGAAGGCATGCATTCATGAAGACACAGCAGCCGTCCTTACTCTTGAGCATTCAGGTGACGGCGACACCCCACTCTGGGAGGACTTCTCTGTGTGTGTGTGTGGCGGTCTCCCGTCAACAAGAAGAGAGCCTGTGGATAGGGGGGTGGTGGCCCGCCATGAACTACAACCGCCACTCCGGCGTTGGTGCCGCACTCCCACCTTCATGTCGGGTGCTAACTGACAGAGCTCAACAAGCCACCACAAGTGGACCGTACCGGTGTCTAACCTATCAATCCCGGCCCCTACTATACACCCACAGTATTCCCTCATCACGCACCGTTTTCCGGCCCAGGGTTCAAACCTTCGTTGGCAGATTTTTGTGGGAGGAGCTCGCTCCACCCCGCAGAAGAAGTACCAACTGCCCTCTCTGCTTCCCAAGCCATCCCAAGCCCAACAACGGTCAGGGCAAGGGCAAACCCGGCAATAATCCGAAAGCAAATGGTAAAAGCGACAAGCGTGACAACGGCTTCTGCTCTAGCGGAATGAGGTCAAAACGACTCAATCCAGGAACGACCTGCTGTTGTCAAACCGTCTTCCCGGGATTGAGTTGCGACGACAACGGAAAGGACGAAGCATGCAAGAAGCCGCGCACGGATTACAAGCTTGGAAGGGGGCATCTATTGCATAAGTCATCGACGAGGGGTTGACGAAGGCGCCCGCTTGGTGGAACTAGTCCGTCAAAGACTGATTTGCTGTCTGCCGAAGCTTGACAACCCCCCGAGTGAACGTTTCCGACGAACGAGCTGCAAGCCAAATGCAGGTGTCTTATTTGCGTCGTGCTGCATGTGTTCACTTGGGCAAGGGTGAGAGCAAGTGCAGGACGTGAACATTGTCTCCGATCCTGATGCCATCAAACGATCAATGGTGCCGAGCTTTGCGCATTCTTGAACACAGGCAGAAAATGGGGCATGAGGACAACCGCTCCTCAAGTTTTTGTTTGTCATGCTTGCGTGTAAGTTGAGGTGCACAGAGACATCATTGAGTACGTTATGCATGAAGTGTTGCAGCAGGACGGTGCCTGGGTAGGTGGTTTGGAGGCAGTTCTTCCAGCTGCACGCAGTTGCAAGCTCTTCAGTCCTCAATCATACAAGCAGACTGGTCCAGCCTAACTTGACAAGCTCGAGCTACAGACCGCAAGGAGTTCAGCGGAATCGACGGCTACTTCAGGTACATCGGCTTTACCCCATCTGAAGTTGACAGACTCCGAGCCACAGCTGCAGCTGGGTCCTGCGTTCAATCTTCTGTGAACTCGGTTTTTGATAGGACTGACAGGAGCAACCTTTGAGGTAACTGCTTGCCCTGTTTCTAGTTCCAGACCTCGTAAGTGGAATCACGAACAGCGGCCACTCCCGCTGCAAAATCCTTGTAGATGTGTTTGCACAAGCACACCTTTTCAGCTCTGATGCAGACACTCTAGACGCGGTTTCCTCGACCGGCACAGGAGTGTCAGTTGCACATGCGTCAGCGGTGTCTGCGTTTGTGGCCAATCCACAACCACTCGCAGTTGCTTGGACAGTTGCTGATCGCGAGCACCGTTCTCACCTGAAACTGCGACGAAGTACATAGACTAACTCTCATTGTGTTATAGACAACCATTCGGCTCAGCAGCGGCTCGATCTCGGATCCCGCAACGGTAAGCCTGCGTGACCACAGAAGAGAGACGCGCCAGTTGCTGTCAACGCAGTCTGTCGCCTACACCGCTGTGCTCACGAGGAAGCAGGACAGAGCGAACAGAGCTCGCGATCGCTTGGTAAGCTTCCCTTCTGCACGCCTGTGTCCACAAGTCTGCTGCAGAAGCCCACAAACATCCCCACACCTTAAATCGATTTCACTTCTTCTTTTCAGCCCGAACCTTCAGCACCTGCTTTGCTTTTTTGTTTGCGCAACTCGCGTGCGCACGGCGGGTCTGTGTGTGTGTGTGTGTGTGTTTCTGTGTGTGACGTGCGCATGCAAACCCCTTTCCTAAGGATCTTCTCTTCCTGCACCTCCGCGGTATTCTCTTAAAAGAAACCAGCAGGGGGGCGCGAGCATTTCTGGATTGCACTGCCTAGCTTGACAAAGACCTTCCACATTTGCTGTGATATGAAGAAGGGACTTCTTCAAATGCCTGCAGCTTGTGAATTCCGATCAAAGACCTGCTCCCGCCCACCGAAACTTGCACAGGACTTCACTGGATATGGCCTGGGGCCGGGGCTAAGCCGAGAACCCCAATTTCGGAGTGGTTGGTTCCAGACAGTGCTGCGCTTCCTGAGTATTTCTCTCATGGAAGCACATGAACGTCCACTAGGTGGAATCTGATTGTTGTGATTTAGGAAGGTTGGTCAGGTTTCAGGCAGCGTTACTTCTTGCCGCTCTTCTTCGACATTATTGCAAATGAAGTCACAAGGGGAAATATCGCTGTGGGTACCGTGCCTTGGGTGTGACAGTATAAATATGGCTTCGCAACAGTTACACGACTAGAACTGTCTGTGTGTGTGTGGTTGGTGTGCCTTTGTCTTCTCGTGTCTGCGTTTTTGTATGTTGGTGCTCCGCGCTTCTTTCCTGACAAAGTGGCGTACATCGGCACATTCGTGGGGCCTGGCGAAAGCTTCTCGTTTTATCAATTCAGTTCAGCCTCGGGGGCCCAGCCAAGTTGAGTCCTTTGGACATGGTGCATCCAGCTAAGGAGAATTGCTGGTGGAGCCGGCGGCAGAGAATGATCCGTGATGTGTTTCAGTGGTTACAAGGAGCTGCATCCCATGCTCTGCGAATCCGGTGAGTCTGGCCCGTCTGCTCCTGCAGCGCAAGGTGCGATAAGCAACTTTTGGACTCGCCACTATCTGACTTAAGTTAAAGCTACCCAGCGGCCCACCACCTATGCGCAAGAGAGCGAGTCAGATGTGCAGCTTCAAGTTTCTTGTTTATGCAGGGGCAGAGGCCTTTCCAGCAAAGTCAGCAAAGTGCCATGTCGGATTCCTTCGATGAAGACTGCCCAGAAGCCACAAGTGGCACTGCCTCTGCTTCGCAGCCGTTTGAACATGTGGTCACACTCTCAACCTCTGCACTTCGAAGCAATTTGCCAGGAGATACTGAACCGAATACTGACCATCCTTATATCTAGGGTGTTCCGAATGTACATGCCTGATTAGGGGAGGCTGTGGTCATGCACTGCCATTACGAAGGCGCAAGCCTTCCCGGTTGTTGTTGTCGTTGTCGTTGTCGTTGTCGTCGTCGTTGTCGTCGTCGTCGTCTTCGCTTCTATTTAACGCTTAGGGCTTCCCATTGAAGCCGGATTCTGTGCGATGGCAAGGTTTTATGCCGCCCTTTGCCCTAGCAAAGATGCACAAGAGAAGGCATGCACCACGTTTGTGGGCCCTCTGAAATGCCGGGAACGCTTAGCAAACCTAGCTTACCGGTAAGCCCAATGGATTTCGACCGAATGATATAGCCTCATGACAGGGGGGCCTGCACCCCCGCCGATGCAAAAGATGACAGATGAATCCATGCACCAGAAGACAGTGCAACCTGACAGTGATGGGTATCGATATCTGAGTCGTGAAAGCCAGTCCAGCGAACCCCCCCGCGACCTTTTTAAGGGTGCATAAGTTGCCAATGCAGAGTCAAGTCAATGGTGGAGCCAGTGCATATTTGCTTCGCGAGACCGTCAGATTTTGGGACCAGAACTTGCCAAGTAATGACTAGCAGCCTGTTCACCTTGCAGGTGTGTATAGTGTATTGATCCGTCAACATGTGGATTCCCGACCTTCGGTTCAGTGTAGTCTTTCTGATTCTGAAACGCAGGGGCCCTAAGTCCTCAAGTTGGCTTCTTCTGGTGTGCCTGTCCGTCGTGACTGCACGGCCTTTGACCATCTTTGACCGTTCCGCGACCGCCACCCAATCCTTGGAGGCAGGATCAGGAGTTGCCACTGTGTTTTATCTTGTTCGGTCTTGTCATATGCGTCAGTAGTGTTGTTTCTCAGGTTTACTCCGGCATGTTTCGTCTTGCCATGCTGATTGTCGTTGTTATTTGTGTTGCCACTGTTGTTCTTCCTCAAGCATTAGTAGGTGCAGTATGATCGTTTTTCCATCGTCATGTCCATGGTGAAGCAGCAAGCAGATGCTGACCCCCAGACCTCACATCCTATGCCCTACGCTTTCACCCCATTTCTCAACCCGCCTACTAAATCAACCCTTCAAACCCGCAAAACACAAGGCACACCCAATACCGACTCCAATACCGACTCAATAATCCATAACTCAATCCAAAACAAAGCCATCTCCCAAGTCGCGACGGCTCGCGAGGCGTCTGCCGACGCGACCAACGCAAATGATCCAAAACACAAAGTACCTTAGCCTTATCCAGTCTGTAGCCAATACCTTACTAGCAACGAAGTCTGCGGTCAGCGACCCTCATAGCAAACCCAACCCACAAACTTCGGGAATGTCTATGGTCAGTTTTCTTCAAGCCAAAAACCGTCAGACACTACCCACATTCCCGTCCAAAAAGCCCTACCACACTCCATTCCCTGAGCCCGTAGCCGTAACCCCCACCCCCGCCCCAAAAAACGCGACTTAGCACCAGTACACACGGTACACCTACGTAAATAGGTAAATGTAGGAAGCGGTTCGATCTCTCAGTGCATACTTTTCGTGTTTGGTCGACGCTTGAGAGAAGCTGCGGAGGTCTAGCTTCTCCTCCCCCACCGCGGCAGACACCCGAAGCAGTCGCCACTGATCGTCAGGCGCGAGCCCCAGCACGCAATGCATTGCAGGAATGAGCAGTTATGCATCGTCTGCATCGCCTCGTAGCAGCCAACTCAGAAGAGCAGGAAGCACGCGAACAAATAATGGACGGAGTCCGGCGGATCTTTATTTTATTTTTTTCTCCTCCCTCTCCCCACCCCCCGCGGGCATTATTATTTTTGTTCCGAGTCTCAAACAATAGCGGTGCCTGCAGGGAAGGAATGGATGGAGAAAAAAAAATAGTAATAATAAAGACAGCCCCGCCCCCCAGCCCTTCCCCCGCCCGCTTCCCGGTCCCAAATTTGTACTAGTGTCTGCGAAGAAAAAAGGGAACGGAAAATAATTAAAAAAGCTCGCGTTTCCACCCTCCACCCCGACTCCCCCTCTTCCCGTCAAAGGCCCCCGGCGCGCTCCCCGCGCTCCCCCCGATAGCAGGGGTGGGGTCAGATCCTATCCGATATCCGCGACTTTGTACTGGTTTCTTGCCCCGATGGAAGCCCCGCCCCTCCAAAAAAATAGTGATGTTCTGCTTTCCAGGGGGAGGTCAGATTCGCTATCCGCGACTTCAGACTGGTTTCTTGTCCCGACAGTGGTGCCCGCCCCCGGCTCCCTTCAAATAAACGACACAATGTTTCGCATGCTTATGGGTAGGCA